GTATGCACGTATGCACGTATGCACGTCCGTACGTCTGTACGTCTGTACGTCTGTACGTAAGTATGTATGTACGTATGTATGTATGTATGTATGTATGTATGTATGTATTTATGTATGTGTGAATGGGATATGCATATGTAACAGGGTCTGGTTCGGTCTGATAGACTATAAACCCTAAACCTTGCGGTTTAGGGTTTAGGGTTTAGCCTAAACCCTACAGGCACCAGGGTTCTAGACGCTTCTGCGGATTGGAAAAACAGGTGCTCAACAAAAAAGGCACCAGGGTGTTTAGGATTTTGGGCCGTGCCAGGGCCTTTGGGTTCTGAGTCGATGCCTTACCTTGGGGACCAAATGACCCTTATAAGTAGGGGCCCTATAGCCTTATACTATGAATCCCTATATGGTGTATGAACCGGAAGCCCTTTTAGGGTTCATTTCGTCCTTAAGGTAAAGCTCAGGAACTTTGCAGTCAAAATCCGCTCGTCCGTTCAAGGGGACAGAGGGGTAGGGAAGATAGTTGGGAAGACCCCCCACGCGAGCATCCGCGGAGACGCTTAATGGTGACACTTAGGGAGCAGATGCAACCTCAGCTTCCGCAGAAAGGCGGCTTTTTTTTTTAAGGTTTCACATATCTCGTCGTCTGCACCCCTCCGGTGCCACACAAACAACTCAAGCACCTTCGACCTCACTCAGAACCCAGTGGAGGAACTGGAGAGAAAGTAGCTCAAGTAGCCAGCACTTCACGAAAACCCTAAACCAAAACCCGAAACCCTAAACCAAAACCAGAAGCCCCAAAGCCTTAAGCCCGAAACTTGCCCTAAACGCTGAACCTCAAGCCTTAAACCCTCAAGCCCAAAAACCCTCAACCCAAACAGCCCTAAACTCCCTTGGGCTCCAGTTGCCGAAACAGAAGGTTACTGGGGTACGTAATACATGGTTAGTAACCTACTACCTACGATTTAGGCAAACAGGAGCCCCAGGGGACAGAAAGCTAAACCCCAATATAGGGGCCTTAATACTTAGAAGAGGGTTTTGGGGCCCGTTATACTATGATTGTGGTTAGGAAACCCCAAAATAGTATTGGTAATTATGTAGGCCCAAGCACTAAACCCTAAACCCTTCTTTTTCGGCGATGGGCGTCCCGGGTGGTCGGGCTGAGTGCCTTACTCCTTCCGCCGCGGCCCAGGAATGTCGCAGTTCTTTGTTTAGGGTTTTAGGGTTTAGGGCTTTTAGGATTTAGGGTTTAGGCTTTCGGGGTTTTGTAGGGTTTAAGGTCTAGGGTGTAGAGTTTAGGGTTGAAGGTTCAGTGTTGAAGGTTTGGAGTTGAGGGTTTAGGGTTGAAGGTATTGGGTTGACGGTTTAGGGTATTGAGTTAAGGGTTTCGGGAGGGCTTTATAAAGCTTGTAAAGCGGCCCTGCAAGAGCTTTCTCAGAAGCCACGCACTCAGATAGTATAGAGTATATACTTTGGCCTTGACCTAGTCCCAGTCCCCATTTAGGTTCTTGAGGGCGTACGTCTGTACTACATGGGCACATGGACCCTTATTAGGGTCTGTTACTGTTGCTGGCGACGTAGCAAGGATCGAGAGCCCGAGGTGTCGCAGCACAACTTTGGCTAGTCAGTTCGGTTTCGAGTATAGCCTGCGCAGTTAAGATTCAGGGCTTCAGGCCGTTAGATCCAGCGCTTGGCTGCAGGCCCTAACCCCGGATAGAGCTGAGATCTTTCGCCCCCGATTGTCCGAGAGTGGTACTCCTATCCTATCAAGGCGACTCCCCGGGCGATTCAGCCAATGATCCTGCGACTGCAAAAACACAGAGAGACCCTATGAATAAGTTCATTCGGGAGACGCCGGCATATGCTGCGAAGCTATGAAAGGCCTGGTCCACCAAGAACAAGATTTGGTGAAGTCGCTGCAGCTTCCTGACCCTCACGCCAGTCTGATGTACTGCAGCAACTTCGCCTGCCTTTACAGAATCACTCACATGCCTGCTGTCGTGAACAGACTGAGCAGAGGAGTCACAGCTAAAGACGCCTGTTGCGCAGACCGATCGTGAATGAAGACGAAGGACACGGGCGCTCTGGGCAGCACCAGAGACGAAACGTGGAGACACAATGTGCAGCAACGGTGCTTGGAATGTTCTTTCCCTGGTGGACGTCCTGTTCGCTTCCACGGGTTGCGACTAGGTCTGCATTGCGGCTGGATGCAGCAACACAAAAGAACTGGGACGATTGACGGGGCTTGGCATGATTCTGACCGCCGAGAGCCTGCCCGCATTTCGGGGCTCGCGAGAGCCCCAGCAACAGGAGCAACAGCAGTGTGGCTGCTCAGGAAGATCCAGATGTTGCAGGTTCGAACTGGCAGGCGTGATTGATTGTGGGGAGGAGGAAAAACAGGCTGCAAAAACGGCCTAAATCTTTAAACCCTATAGACCCCATACCCCTAAATCCTAAACCCTTCAATTAACGCATATCCTCGAGTTATGGCCGGATCCGTGAACATCCCTCAGCCTGGAATTCTGCATCTTCAACATACTCCTTCGGCAAGAAGGGGCCGTAATCTGGGGTTGGCACTGGAATCCCATATGGGGCCTTAAATGGCAGTAGCCAACAATGCTGGTGATGTGAAGAAACTTTAAGCAACCTTTTTCAGCCATCTATCCCCCAAGAGCTTCAAACCCGGGGTTTAGGGTTTGGGGTTTAGCGTTAGAGTCTAGGGTTCAGAGTTTAGGGTTTAGGACGCGAGACAGAGCATGGATGGCAATGCAACGAATCTCCGGTTGAAAGCTGCAGGTGCTTGGCCCTGTGGGAACCTACCATCTGAGGTTTGTGTCGTAGGGTCATAGCATAAACTCTACGACATCGGCTTCAGAGGCATCCTGCAGAAAAGGTTGGGGTTGAGGATTTAAAGTTTCCCCAGTTTCAAACTCACAGTTCCACCTGTCCGGCCAGACAGATCGCGGCTGGAATCTTTTTCCACCTCTGCCAAACGCAAAGGGCTAACTCCGAAAGCCTTCAACCCTTCGTGACCCCCGAACAACCACACTCGGAAACCATTGCTAGTTTAGGGTTTAGAGTTTAGGGTTGATAGGTTTTAGGTACCATTTCGCTACACCCGTTATTCGCCTTTCAATTACAAGCCTCCAACAGGTAGGCTAGCCCTTCCTAAACCAAACCTGAAGCCTTTCATTCAAGGGCCGGCGGCAATGGCAGCCGCTAGATTCACCTCTTTGGCAGGCTCGCGGCTTTGTAGTCTTTAGTGTAGAGGTTCCCAGAGTGGGTTTAGGGCTTTAGGAACTAAGGATGTGCACTTCTTAGTGCCTTAGTGTAACGTCCCATACGGGAAATTGGTTGCCATTTATGTACCTCTTACGCAATTTCATGAGCGACGTAAGTCTACGGGCCAGAGCCGCTGCATTACCACATTACGCACTCGCTTTCTACGCCTCCCATATCAGTATAGTGTACTATTATATAATGAGTGTAATCCACCCCGAAACTTGATTCTAGCATAATCTACTTGTTAAGGCTCCGCCCAAGAAAAAACGTTTGTTGCAGAACCCAGAGACTCCAAAAACCCTAATCCAGAAATATACCTTAAGCTTATTAGGGTCCATATGCTGATTTAAGGTATACTCATGCATACTCCTATAAGTTAAGGCTTTGGAGTCTTTGGGACCTGTTCTGAGCATTCCCAGATCCGCAGGCCACCCCTCACAGCTCCGCCTCTGCTGTGGCTGTGGACGTGGCCACCAATCAGGCCAAATCGGTTACAGAATGGGGTACTACAGGGGTTGTCCAGGTGTTTCGGTTTATAGGCCTTTGTATTTGGGTTTTGGGGATTTGGGGGTTTTAAGGTTTCAAGGTTTTCCGTTCTTCTCTAATGGTAAAGTGGGTTTGAGGGTGTCGGGGCCGCTCCGTTGGTATGTACTAATATAGGGGCCTTAAGTACAAGTATAGTACGAAGACCCCTCCCCGAAAAACCCTATTCTAGTACTTGAGGCCTCTTTGTTATCTTAGGGGCTGAGTAGGTAACCTTTAACCTTTTGGGGCTTATATAATCCTACTATAATTCCAAAGGTTAACCTTTTTTGGGCTAGGGTACTCAGCCCCTAAGTTATATGAAGGTAGCCCTGAAGTGAGCCTTTAAAGGAACTTGTTTGGGGGAATGCTGAGGGGACGCCTACGTCTCTGGAGTCGAATGCTTGTTTCGGCTTGATTGGGCACTCTATATAAATTTACCCTTCCAGGTAAGATTATGAAGGTAGGTAGCCTTGAAGGGAGCCTTTAACGGAACCCATTTGAGGGAACCCTGAGGGGAAGACATACTTTCAAGAGTTTACCCTCAAACCCTAAACCCCAAAGAGTTCATGTTTTGGGTGTTTTCTACATGGCTCCCAGGAGCAACGACACACCCAAGTTGTTAGAGTGGAGTGCTTCTTTCGGGTTGATTGGGTACCCTATATCCCAAACTATTACATCCTTAACTCCTATAAACTCATAAGCCCGAAACTCCGAAACCCGTAAACCTTAAACGCTAAAAAAACGATTTATAGAGGTTGGTCGCTGCGACGGTTGAGAACCTGCGGACTGAAAGAATGGTAGTTGGAGCGCTCTGCGCGCAGGAAATCGTGCAGTCCGCAAGAAATCAACTCCCGTTGCTTTTGGGTTTAGGGTTTAGGGTTTAGGGTTTAGGGTTTAGGGTTTAGGGTTTAGGGTTTAGGGTTTAGGGGTATGCCAAATTTGCCAACGCCTCAATTCACATCGAGTTGGTTGATTACAAGCTCCTCTCCATGGTTTTGCATCGGGGCCAGTCCCCAAACACGGTGCACTACAGGTCCGTGCAGAAGTCTCTGGCTGAGGAACGGTTACTTTCAGATGTACTATACTGGTGATGGTGTTTCGGCTGTTGGTCTGGATCGCAATGATGCTCTCAACAAGGATGTTTATCTACTTTGGTTTCTGACAGTGACCGCTTGAATGCACTGCATTCGCTGGTGTTCAAACAACCTTTTGACGGTGCTACTCTGCTGGGACAACCTGCTTTGCTACTCGTAGCCGGGTTCGTGGCGAGGCTCTGTTTTTTACTAGTTGCAGGACCAATTGTCCGCTCAAGTTTTGAGAATAGATCACCACGTGTGTGATATAGCGACATCCCCCAGTGGTACGCTTTCCCCTTTTTTTGGGGGGGAGTCCCCGATTGAAAGCAACTAGGCACTCTTATGATTAAGGGGCCTGCTGGGGAACCTAGATACGTATGTAACAATCTCCCTTCTGCAGTCCGTACGTTTTTATGGTGTCATTCGCTACCTCAGAATCCCTGCTCAAATCCTGGCGGTACCTAGCATAGGTCCCAATAACACTCCAGGATCAAGACCTTATGTAAAGTTCATAGAAAGCATGATAATAACACCCGAGTATTCAGTTTTCCAGGTAAGTAATGGTGGTGGCATCTGTGTAGTAGGTGACACCGCTTCATGATGGTTTGTTTCAGTACCGTTCCAAGGAGACGAAGCATCGCCCCGCATCCGACCGGAACCCTAAACCTTCAACCGTTTAGGGTTCGTTGTGTTCGTACTTTCCTTGTATAGTTTCGTGAAGACGGTAGGTGTTTGGAAATTAAGCCCATAGCACTTCGAAACACTGAACCTTAAATCCCGAATCCCAGTCAAGATTAGGAGCTCCAATCCGTGCCCTCATGCATATACGTGTGCATACCTGTCTATGTTTGTGTGCGTATGTATGGATGCACGTATATGTATGTATGCATGTACGTATGGATGTATGGATGTATGCATGTATGTCTCTATGTATGTATGTATGTATGTATGTATGTATGTATGTATGCATATATTTATCTGATGGTTTGTTGCTTTAGACAAGCTTTCTGACCTACACACACACACATATATATATATATATATAGATATAAACATTCATATACCATGTACATAATGTCTAAGTTGTATAAATAAAACCTTATTGCAAAACTCTGTTTCAATACCTCCAGCCAACCCGTCGGGCATTTGTTGGGTGGCGTTTGAAGCCCCTCCGGCCAGGTGCCATGGCAGCCAGACAGTCTGAGTACGGAGCTGAGTACACCGCTGCACAGCATTTCTGGGTTTTAGGGTTCTTGTAAGGGGGTTTATAATTCTCCGCAAGCGACGAAGGAGTTAGAAGTACGGGTGCACTTAGAGGGGTTATGAGTGCTATTGAGTGCTTCATAGCAAGTTTGAAATTCGAAGTTTGGAGGCTTAGTTGCAAGTATTGTCAAAATGCTGGATTTCCGGTCTCCTTCCTATGATTTCTTTATATGGCTCCTTAGACATTACATTTTTGGCGAGGTCGTTCTAGTGACAGCATAGTCTAGAACTGAAGAAGGAGCAAACATTGTAAGTTTGGCGAGCCTAAACGAACTGCACACTGCATCGTGTTTAACGAATTTATACCTTACCTTACCTTAACCGCAAATAGCATTGCAGTTTAAGGGCTCATTTAAAGAAGCATAAAAAAAGAGACCGAAAGAAGGTAGGTTTTTTCTTTTACGGTGTCCAGCTAAAGAGCAAGTTCTGAAACGATTTGCACATTCGAGATCGAGGGAGCCTCTTCCCCCCTGAACTACCCAGATTGCTGTGTAAGGAGTATACCACCTGCCTAAATAACAAGGTCTTGATGTTGCAGCCTAAACAGCCCCTCGGTTGCACAGGATATCAGACCATAAAACCCTGAAGCCCTGTAACCTGAACCCTCAGGAGACCGAAGAGACGACGTACAAATGCGAGTATCTCAAGAAGCTTGTTGAGGGCAGGGAAAAAACGACTACCATCAAGAGCATTTGTGCTCAGCATGCCACGGGAGCAGGTCAGGTTCAACATCAATACGGACACTACATCAGATTGGCAACGGGCACGAAAAAAGAAGTTCAACGGTGCCAAGATGAAGGAGATTGCCCCAGCGCTTAGTGAGACCTCCTTCCGTTGGTCGTGCTGTCTCAATGCCATTCTGAAAGAAGAAGGAGGAGGTGCAAAAACTAACGAAGCGGGCGGTGGCAACGGTGAAATCTAAAAACTGGAGAATGTCGACGAAGAAGTTGTTTCGGTCACGGCACCACCATCGTTAGCACCCTTTCTTCACGATGCGATTTCCCTGGTTGGCACCGGCAACCAGCAGTTGAAGAACAATGAAGAGGTCACCAAAACCCAAACCTCCTAAACTGCGATACAGTGATAAGCCCAAAAGCCCTAGGATTGAACCTTGAAACCCAAATACCTATATCCCTGTAAGGCCTAAGTACATACCAATTAATTACACAAAGGTACATGGAGCCTTCCCCTAAACCCTAAAACCCTAAACCCCGAAACCCCACAGTCTAAACCCTAAAACCCTAAACCCCGAAACCCCAAAGTCTAAACCCAAAAACCCTAAAGCCCTAAAATCCTAAAGCCCTAAAGCCCCAAATTCCTAAAACCTAAAACCCTAAAGCCCTAAAGCCCTAACCCTTAAAACCCTCAAACGCTAAAGCCCTAAGCCCTAAAACCCTCAAACCCTAAAGTCCTACGCCCTAAAACCTTCAAACCCTAAGACTTGAACCCTATAAACCCTAAAACCTAAAACCCCAGAGCCTGCTTAAAACCCTTAAAACCTAAACCTAAAGCCCTCAAACGCACAAGCTCTATGCCCTAAAATACCCTGACCTTGAAGCCCTAGCCCGGAAATCCTCAAGCCCAAACACCCTGAACCCCAAACCCTAAAACCTAAACCCTAAAACCCTAAAGGTCTGAACACCTACACCCTAAACCCTAAAACCCTCAAACCTTAAACCCTAAACCTTAAAACCCCACCGAAACCCTAAACCCTACGGCCCTAAACACCTAAACCCAATGCCCTAAAGCCCCAAAAGCCCTAAAACCCTAAAACCTTCAAACTCCCAAACCCTAAAACCCCAAACCCTAAAACCCTGAAGCCCTAAAGCCCCAAAGCCTTAAAACCCTCAAACCCTAAAGCCTTCAAACCCTAAAGCCCTAAAACCCTAAAACCCACAAGCCCTAAACCCTAAACCCTGTAAACCCCAACCCTAAACCCTAAAGCCTTAAAGCCCTAAAACCCTAAAAACCCCAAACCCTAAGCCCTAAAGCCCTAAAACCCTAAAACCATCAAACCTTATGCCCTACAAACCCTAAAACCCTAAAACCCCAAAGCCCTACAACATTCAATCCTTCAAGCCCTAAAGCCCTAAACTCTCAAACCCTAAACCCCCAAAGTCCTAAAGCCCTATAATCCCTCAAACCTTCAAAACCCTAAACCCTAAAACCCTACCTAAACCCTAAAGTCTTAAAACCCTAAAACCCTAAACCCCAAACCCTAAACCCTAAAACCCTGAAACCTAAACCCCAAACCCCAAACCCTAAAACCCTAAAGCCCTACCTAAACCCGAAAGCCTTAAACCCCTCAAACCCTAAAACCCTAAAACCCTAAACCCTCAAACCCTCAAACCCTAAAGCCCTGACACGCTGAAGCCTGAGCCCCAAACCCTCAAACCCTAAAACCCTGAAGCCTCAACCCCAAACCCTAAAACCCTAACGCCAATCCAAGGCCTGGCTACAGTGCCGCTTTCCCGGTATCCGCTGCTGGGCTCCGATTCTTGGCTCTCCCGACCTGCCAGTGCCCGGGCCCCCGGTGGGCTGAGGGTTGCTTTAGGGGCGGGGAAGGGGGCTACTTAAGATTGAGGGTTTTAGGGTTGCGGTTGTAGGGTTGAGGGGTTTAGGGTTTAGGGTTTAGGGTTGAGGTTTTAGGGTTTATGGTTTAGGGTTTGGGGTTTGGGGTTTGGGGTTTAGGGATTGGGGTTTAGGGTTTAGGGTTTAGGTTTGAGGCGGGCTATTGGGGGTTTAGGGTTTATGTAGGGTTCCTTTGAGGGGGCTATGTAGGGGCTTCAGGATTTTGGAGTTGAGGGCATACTCGCGCCAGCTGCTCCGATAGTACCCTTCTGCTGCATGCAATTTGGGTGCTTCAGGCGACTTTCTAATTAGGCCTATAAGTCTATGACAATTTTCAGGTGGGTAGTTGCCGTTATAGGAGCCTTACAGAAGGTCTATATACCTTATGGAAGCCTTATAGAAGCCCTCTATACCCTAACACTCCCCACCTGTAGTTTCCTTTAACCCTAAACCCCTAAACCCCTTCTAACACTCCCCACCTGTAGCTTCCTTTAAACTAGTCTATGTAGGTACAAGGCGCCTGGGGGCTCAGGATGGATTCAATCCTGTCTTTTAGGATGAGGGTAGTTCTCTAAATTCAGGTCCTTTTTTAGGCCCCCAACATAGTACGGCACCCTTATAACAAGGACCCCAAAAGGGACCCTAATTTAGAGAACTACCCATGGGACTACTTTACCTACCTTCATCCCACCCTTATTGGAGCCCTTTGCTAATTTTGCGTAGAGGCTTGAGCAAAGTGTAAAAAGCTTCTTTCTTACAGTCCCTACATGCTTGGACGACATGTAAACCCTAAACCCTAAACCCTAAACCCTAAACCCTAAACCCTAAACCCTAAACCCTAAACCCTAAACCCTAAACCAAAGCCTGTTTCGCTTTTTCAGTCCCTCGAGCCTCGAGCCTTAGACCCCAGACCTATTCAACCTATTCTAGGGTTTAGGGTTTAGGGTTTAGTGGGGTTTAGGGTTTAGGGTTTAGGGTTTAGGGTTTAGGGTTTAGTGGGGTTTAGGGTTTAGGGTTTAGGGGGGTTTAGGGTTTAGGGGGGTTTTGGGGATTTAGGGTTTTAGGGTTTTTTTTGCTATTGAAGTCGCTGCAGACGTAGACAAAGGCTCGAACCACCTCGTCGCGGCCAAGAACGGCGGGATCAGCGGCTGCCGCGCTGGAGGCGGCGAAGGCGGCGGGAGAGGCTCGCGCGTGCCGGTGTGGGTGGGGAGGGGAGCACAGTCTACAAGGAGCGCAGGGCTCAGAGTTCAAGGGTGGTTTATAGGGTTTATGGGGGGGGTTCCATCAGGATTCAGTTTTGCTTTCCAGGTCATCAATATGACAGGCTACCGGAACCCTAATGGACTCACATTTTGAGGATTCCCTATTGTGAGACCTGTGCATATTCCCTTGAAGCGCAGGGGTGTTGGGGTACGGGCAGGCATTAATCACCCCTCTCGTAGACCTTTATCACCCCTGTATCAATCCTTGCAGACCCCGTTTACAGAACTGTTATGGAACCTTTTATCTACAGAACCCTAAGTCCTGCAAGAAGCCGAAAGCACTTGGCTCTGAACCCCAAGCCCATTTACCCAAAGGCTTCAAGTAATAGTATAGTATGTACTTCGGGGTACCAAATATCTACAAGTAGCAGCTACATTTGTACTTGGGCTCTTTGGGAATTAGACCCTCAACCCTAAGCCCTAAACCCAAAACCCTACCTAAACCCTCAACCCTCAGCCCTAAACCCTAAGCCCAACTAGAAATTCTTCCCTTGCCGGTCTTTCGGGCTGCAGGCGGCAAAGGCTGCGGCAGACGAATCGTCCTCAGATGAAAACCCACCTTGAGGGGCTCAAAATATCGGAGTACAAAGTTGAGGGCTGTTGGTAGGGTTTAGGGTTTAGGGTTTAGGCTTTTAGGTTTTTAAATTAAGGTCCTGGGGTTTGGGGTCCAGGGTTTACGGCCGTTTCTGGTGCATTTGAGGTTGTTTCTGGGTTTACTCTGCGTGTGTGGGTGGTACAGCTCAGAGCTTCGTGGAGGTTTAGTCATTGTTGTGCCTTTCGGATTTCGTTTGGGGTGTAGGATTTAGAGTTTATCCTGTTGCTGTGAAGAAGAGGCACTACGAACGAGCACGGGTTTCCACGAACACTCTCGCGTGTTTGCGCACTTCGTATTCTTGTTGTCATAGACCTAAGGGGGCCAGCGGAAGCAAGACCACGAGCACATGACACACACACACACAAACCAGAGCGAAAAAGGCCAAAGCCCTCATCTTGCAAGTCCCTGTGCTGCCTGCATGATCCGTGTACCTCCAATCCTGAAACAACCCTGGACCCCACAGAACCCCAAACCCTAAAACCGAAGCCCCAAAACCTATAAGCCCTAAACCCTAAACCCTAAACTTTAATAGCCCTAAAACCGAAATCCCAAACCCTATAAGCCCTAAGCCCTAAACCCTAAACATTTCTATACCCAGAGACTCCAAAACCCGTTAATTAAGGAATATACCTTAAATCAGGGTTCCTATTATAATTTAAGGTATGTTATTTAATTAATTATGGGGTTTTGAAGTCTCTGGGTACCATAACTACTAAACCCTAAACCCTATACCCCAAACCCTAAACCCCTAAACCCTAAACCCTAAACCCTAAACCCCTAAACCCCTAAGCCCCAAACTCTAATGATCACGAAGCCTGGACCCGGCCACAACTCGACGATGTGGCTCTCTAGGCTGCCATGGTGGCTGCTCGTCTTATCTGCCAAGACGAGGCGAAGCGCGCCGTGCTTTCCTTTATAAGGGTTTCGGGTTTAGGGCTTTAGGGTTTTAGGGTTTTAGGGTTTAGGGTTTAGGGTCGAGGGATTAGGGGTTTAGGGGTTTAGGGTTTAGGGTTAAGGTTTAGGGATTTACGGTTTCGGGTTTAGCCGGCTTGGGGTATACTCTCTTACGAATCTCCTGTTGGAGTCTGGGAAATCTTTCAGCTAACATCGTGGACAAAACAAGCAACACACGAGGTGTGCCTCAAATCCTACCCAAACCCTAGAATGCGGTGCATCTTTTTTGGTGATCTTGGTTTCCTGTGACAAGATGCTAGCCACATAACAGATTATGCAAGAAAGGTGGTACACTCTAGGTCTAGGCAAGCCCTTGAAAAGCATTCCTGTCAACTGAGGTGTTTGGGCACATGAGCCTGAGCCCGAACCTAAACCCTAAACCCTAAAGCCTAAACCCGAAACCCAACACAAAACCCTAAGCCCAGAACCCTACACCCTAAAAAGCGCGAGGTGAACTGCGAGGAGGAGCCTGAGCTTCGACGGCTCCTATACCCTAAACCGCCCCAAACCCTAAAGTGGAAGCCCGGAAGTGTTGGTACAGGGTTTAGGGTTTATAGGGTTTAGGGTTTAGGGTTATCCTCGCCCCCTTAAGGTAAAGTATAAGGAATCCCAACACTAATCATCCTAAATCCGTGTTCCAACTTTGGTACGTTGCGTTCACTATAAGCCCGAAATAGGGTTCTCAGGGGTACCCCTTTCAGCTTCTTCTTTTGGGAGACTTCCAATTGAAAAACTACGAAGGAGGGGCTGTAGGTAGTATAGGAGGAGCCGGACTGCTTACATCTACTTACAACAGGGCACCTGAAGTTTCATAAGTTTAAATTAGCAATACTACCCGAAACCCTAGTAAAGGAGCCCTATTCTCATGAAGTCGAAACCCGCAAGCCTAGGATCATCTCTGTTCATATCGGCATCCTCTGCATTTGATGCGTACGCGAATTCTATCGGCAAGAACTAAGAATTACATCTGTAACGATAAGAACAAGGAAAAGAATCAACATAATTGTTGGCGTCAGATTACGGGTAATAGTAGTCAACCATAATGACCGAATGGCAATGAAGGCTTTGAGTGGTGCCCCTGAAGACACCTAGCCGCAGATGATACAGGGGGCTTTTGAAATCGACACCTTGCAAAGAACCCTCCGTGGATACCCACCGAAGCCCAAGCCTCAAATCCCCTACAGCACCCCTCCAGAAACCCTTTAAAGGAACCCCATTATAACTGTTAAGGCCCCTACGAACCCCAAACCCTAGACCCTAAAAAGCAATCCCTAAACCCTAAGCCCTAATCCCTAAACCCCAAGCCCTAAACCCTAAACCCCAAGCCCTAAACCCTAAACCTCAAGACACTAAAACCCCAAAACCCTCAACCCCAAACCCTAAACCCTAAACCCTAAACCCTAAACCCCAAGCCCTAAACCCTAAACCCTATTCTACTTCTTAAGGTTCCAGACCCAATGCACCCAGAGACTCCAAAACCCCTGAATTAAGGAATATACCTTAAATTCTAATAGGAACCCTAGTAAGATTTAAGGTATGTTCCTTAATTAAGGGGTTTTGGAGTCTCTGGGCAGCTGC